ATAAGCAAACAAGAAGTTGACAATTACATGGTTTTACAGAAGAATTTTTATAATGTGTTTGTGCTTTATATTTATTGTTATCTTTTAAATCTTATTATGATACCTTACATTATTGTTCAATAGGTTAGTTTATTTAATTGCCTGTTTGACTTTTTCATCATCTTTAGCTTGTTTAAAGAACTGTATTTTGTTTTGATCTATGCTGTTAGCCATAGATCAAAACAAAATATGCATTTTCTTTCTTAATCTATGCTTTTCCTTCATTTATCTCATTGACAAAAGGATGGCTGTGTATTTTTAAAAGTTGTACCTAAACTTCTTCCACATTCCACCATAGTCTGAGCTCCACTGGGCTGATAGGGTGGGTCTTCGAGGCTGGTGATATAAAATATTTGCCAGAGGAAAGAAGCGCCATATTAGTTATCTTGGTGAGATAAAGAGACTAAACAGACACTTGTTCCATCTCCATGGCAGGGAGCAAGGAAAGTCAAGAAGGGAATGATGGGGTGACATCTGGTCTCAACTGATCCAACGTCAGATTGTTGCCCCCTCTTGCTCCTTTAAAGGGGCTCTAGGTCTAATAGTTCCAGTTAATTAACCCAATGTTTTCTGTCTCATCTCATTTTTCCATGAAATGCAAGTAAAAGGTGGCATATGGGTTGTAACTTTAATAGTGGCAACACTGCTGTAAAGACGGCATGCAACTAAACAAAAGAATGTCATGTATACCACACTCAGTTACATGCCTATGTTAACTCTGAGCAAAAAGACTCACCCTTCCTACGTCATGCACATGCAGAGTGACACGAAGAACTGAGCCTTGTATTACCTTGCAGTCTAAAGTAAGTGTTGTCAGGACGTTGGCAAAACAAGAACAACGGCGTTGGATAAAGACTGAATGTGCCAGAGGTCATACAGCACGACAGTGTCATCAAGGTCTTGTAGACGCTTGCAGGGACTCTGCATTGCCTTACAGAACAGTGGCAAGGTGAGTAAAAGTCTTCAATGAAGGAAGCCAAAATGTGGCAGACATGCATCGGTCAGGTTGTCCTAGTGTCAGCAAAGAAGAAGTGAATGCTGTTGCCACACTCGTAGACAGTGATCGATGCCATACAATTTATGAACTGGCTCAAAACACAGGATTTGTGCATACAGGTGTGCTCCACATTCTGAAGGAATGGCTGAGCATGAGAAAAATTCCTTCATGATGGGTTCCACATCATTTGACAGAAATGCAGAAATTGCTATGATATGATGCTGCTCATACCCACTTGGAGCATTATGAGCATGAAGGAGAGGCTTTCTTATGCCTTATCATTATGCTGGATGAGATTTGGGACAGATCATACCAGCCAGAACTGAAATTCCAATCGAACGAATGGCATAATTACGGGTCACCACAAAGTTAATAATTTCATCAGAACCCCAGCAATGTGAAAGTTGTCGTGATTCTCTTATATGACTGTGATGGTGTCATCCTAACACATACCATTCTCCCACATCAGACTGTCTATGCACAGTATTACTGCTCATTTTTGAAACACCATCTCAGACCAGCTTTGAGAAAAAAAAGGTTCACTTTCTGCAGAATGCCCCTATCAGTTTGCATGACAATGCTCAGCCACATGCAGTGCGAGCTGTGGCTGATTTGCTGGATCGATGGGACTGGGAAGTGCTGTACCATCCACCATACTGCCCAGACTTAAGCCCTTGTGACTTTGACTTAATTCCTAAGATGAAGGAACCACTTTGTGGCATTCACTTCAGAACTGTTCCAAAGATTCTTGTGGCAGTAGACGGCTCCATTTGAACTATCAACAGAACAGGTGCTGCAACAGGTGTCCTATGACTTCCACATCATTGGAAATGGGTTGTATACAATGCTGGCAATGATATTGAAGGACTGTAAAACTTGGTGGCATGTATCACTTTTGTATTATATGTAAATAAATAGTTGCCACTATTAACGTTCCAACCTTCGTATATAGTAATGGTGAGATTAGTCTAGTTTGAATGTTTTTGCAAAACAGGCACTGGAGGAGCACATGCTCAGTTGTTTCTATATCCAGAGTCATATGGGCAGAGTCTTTCTGGGTAAGGGGTCTTCTGAAATCAACCCTCAAGTAGAGCTGATGGAAAGGTGTGACATCAAGGCCCTCCAATGATTGGGTACCTCTAAATTTGTTAAGTATGCCATAGGGAAGGTGAGGTACTTACTGGCTTTCTTGACGATGAAGGTCGGGGTACTTGCTAGATCCAGTTGTTGCTGTGTGTCTGAAAAACGTTGTTTAATGAGTGCTTTGACTTGATCGTATTCCATACTGAGTAGCAAACCTGGAAGTTTATACATTAAAAACATGTTTGAACAAAGATGTCTGACTATGGGAAAAAGGAACATAGAGACCAAGCCAGTCTAGCCTCCCATGGAAAGGAGTTCCAGAGAGTAAGAACAGAGAGTAAGAATACTGAGAAAGGTTACTGTGCTATCACCAAGTGAGCCTGTGATGATGGTGAGATTGAGAAAAAAGTCTTCCTCTATAGATCCTAGAACTACATGGGGATATATGGTCTTTCAAAAAATCTGGCCCAAAGATGTGTAAGCTTTTATAAATTGTGAGCAGCACTTTGAATCATACTCGGAAACAAATCAAGAGTTATGTGCTTCCTACAACTGACCTTGATCAACATTCTAGCTGCAGCATTTTGAATCCACATAATTTCTGAATAGTTTCCAAAGGCAACATCACATAGAGCATGTTGCAGTAATCTTAACAGGATGCAATCAAAACATTAGTTTTCCTCTCCCCATGAAATGGGGAGAGAGAAAAAACATTTGTCTGCCTCGCACGAGGCAGGGAGGAGTTCTGCTGGAACCCTCCAGAACATCCGGGGGCGTGGCCTGTGAGTTCAGGCCAGGCCCCCTCCCAGGCATTCTGCGTCTGGACGCTGGGGAAGAAGGACGCGGAGAGAAGATCCAGGACCAGGGGCCCTGGAAAGAAGAGAAGGCAGGCGAAGAAGAGAGAAGATTTCTTCGAGTCAAGAGGAGTGGAAGGCTGAGGAGATAGAGAAGACGACCGGCGGTGTGAATAGTGAAAACCAGGAGGCGCTTCAGGTCGGTAGCGGGGATTCCGGGGGGGGTGGGTTTTTGCTTCGACCCACGGGTGCTCTTTAAGGCATGTTTGGGGGAGCATTGGCCCACCACCCCCCCCCTCCCCTTTCCTTCTCGTGGACTCCTCGGCGCTTCGGCTGAGGCCGGAGGCTAGCTCTTGATTGGGGCCCAGGCAGGGGGGGTTGGAGAGTTGCGCTCCGGCTTGTGCTGCCCCCTTTACCCCCCCCCTCCTCCCCCGTGCCCAGCCTCGCTCCCCCTTTGGGGTTTATATGGCGTTTGTGTTAGGGGGGGGGATGGTCGCGCGCGATTCGCGCGCCTCCCTCCCCTTGCCGTTTGCTTTTCTGGGCCGTCCCGGGGTCGGCGGGTGCGGGGATTGGGAGAGGGGTCTCGCCTCTTCTCTGCCCCCCCCCCTCCCCTCCGCTTTCCGGCATTTTGAGCACGGGCCGCCTGCTTCGTTCGGTGCCGCTTCGGGCGGGGCCGGCGGCCCGGCAGGCCCGTGCGGTGCGCGGTGTGCCTGTGCGGCGCTCGCTCGGAGCGCCCGCGGGAGCGTGCCGCGTGGCAGCCCCGTGCGGTGGGCACGTTTTTGGTTTTTGCCGGCCCGCGTGGTCGGCGGGCCTCCAGGGAGCAGCTCAAGCTCTCCCCGGCTTGCCACCCGGCATTGATACATACAAGGGCCCCCGGTGGTAAGGGGGGTTTGAACAATGAGATGCTGAGCGTGTTGAGTGTAATGCGCAGGCTCGATGCTTGGGAGCCGCGTGAGCTTTCGCTGCCAGCCTAGCGTTGGGATGAGGAGAGCAATAGATAGCGTTTTTTGCAAGGATGGCGCTGCAGGCTAGTACAGGCCCTGGGTTGCCTCCCCTCCATTGTTTTAGTTTCGTTTTCGGCCACATGGTAGGGGCGGCCATTTTGTTTAAAAGTAGCGGCGCCATCTTGATTTCGTCCTTAGGGGAACTATAAAATATATAGAGAGAGAGAGAGAGAGAGAGAGAGAGGAGAGAGAGGTAGAATAAAATAATATTAATAAGTAAATGGAAAATAAGAAATTTTATTTGACTCCCATAACCCGTTGGTAGTAGGGTTTCTTAATAAGAATAATAATAAAAAAAAAAAAAATTTTTTTGATCCAGTGATTTAGGACGAGCTCCCAGTTGTTTGTCCCAGCTCCTGATAGATTCTAAAATAAAAAAAAAAAAAAAAAAAGAAGCATTTAGGACTCCAGTGAGTTAGGGTGAGCTCCCAGCGGTCTGTCCCAGCTTCTGATATATCATTGATGATACATGCAAATGTGACTGGATCAATATTGGCAAACCAGACTTTTAAATCGATATTAGGGGATCACAGGGTGGACTAAAATATTCGGTTCCTCGGATAACGGGTTTGTCATCAATTCTCTTTCAGGATGGCGCCAAAGAAGAATGTGGGCGGCCCTAAAGGAAAGGGACCTGCCAAGAAGACTCCGGCTAAGCGTCCCCTCCCTCCCAACGAATCAGCTTCGGAGGAGGAGGACGTCTCAGCTGAGGAGCTAAATGCTCTGATGGCCAGGATGGAGAGATTCGAAAGGGAAAGAGGGTTGGCTCCAAGGGATGCGGGGTTGCGCCCGGCGCAGGGGGCAAGCAGAAAGCTGATATTTAAACACCTTCTTTCTCGCATGTCTGCTTTAGAGGCCAGCCGTGCAGCTGCGATAGGCGTTGGGGACGAGCCTGGCCAACCGGAATCCAGAGAGAGGGAACAAGATCCCYCACTACCGACAGGGGATCAACCTCAAGTGGTCCAGGCTCAGGTGTCATCTGGTGACGCAGCAGCACCGACCCCTGCCGAAGCTGCCCCAGCTATTGCTCGGGCACAACCAGTTACTACATCAATGCAGCCCGCAAGGGTGGCAGCATCATCGGCTGCTGACCCGATCATAACAYCTCCGGTGGCGGCACCATCGATGCTGGAGAAGGCGACAACGGGGCAAATTTCTATGCAAACTGACATCATTGACGGGCCATCAACATCCACAGGTAACAATACACTGGTCTGGCCTTGGGGCCTGAGCCAGGCGCAAATCACTACACCTACACTTCAAAGTGCGGCTCTGGCACTAGCAGGACCTTCAGTCATTAAGGCTGGTCCTCAAGCGCCTTCAGTGGCCCCTATAACATTGGAAATGGCTAGGTCAGGAGACGACAACCAATATTGGGGAACTGATAAATGGGTGCTGCCGGTAGTTACTACGGCAGCCTCAGCATCCTTGGGGGCCCATTTATCGCAAAAAACCATTGACAAGATACTCAGGAATGAGTACATAGACATGTTTTCCTTATATTTCAGAGAATTAGATAAAAAGGAAAAAGATGACATGGATGAAGAGCACAAGGAAAAATTAAAGAAGAGGCGGGTTGAGCAGAATTGGAAGAATTGGATAGCGTGCTATACCATATACGCATCCCTCCTAGTAGAGGCTCACCCGTATAGGGCCAAGGCCCTATTTAAATATCAAAACATAATTTATGGGGCTTATGTTAACTATACCGGCCAGGCATGGTTGGTTTACGATACCCGCTTTCGTTCAGAAGCCGCCACAAAGCCCGATAAGAGATGGGACCTCATCGACAGTCAACTGTGGATGGAGGTGATGAATACAACCAGGGCAGTCCCTGGTGAGAAAGCTGATAGTGGTCACACTATACAGAACGCCAAAGGGAGTCAGCCCTTTCGGCAGGGAAACCCAGCACAGCAGCCGCAAAAACAAAAAGGGATGTGCTGGGGATATGCGGCCAACGGAGTTTGTGCACGCAAAGACTGCAAGTTCCGACACGCCTGTGCAATATGCCAAGGTGACCACTCAACCAAGAGTTGTTACAAGGCAAAATCAACAAGGAGCGGGCCAAGGGCCGCGCAGTTTAACAGAGGGAACCCAGGACAGGGGAATGTTTCAAAAGGGTCCCAGCCCAATCAGGGTGGGTCCGCTTAGTGGTTGGCTACAAAGATACCCTGACAGAGCGGCAGCAGAGTATCTGCTTGGCGGCTTTAGAGAGGGTTTTCGAATTCCGGCCCTCGGGCCACGTTCTCCCTGTCTAGCACCCAATCTGAAATCGATTAGAGGCCTGGAAAATATAGTTCTACAAAAAATAAACAAAGAGGTTAAGGAAGGCAGGGTTTTGGGTCCGTTTGTCGCACCCCCCACGCCTCAGTTTAGGGTCTCCCCTTTAGGAATAGTACCCAAAAAAGCTATCGGTGAATATCGCCTCATTCATCATCTCTCCTATCCGAGGGGGGGATCGGTGAATGACGCCATTCCCGACGAACAATGCTCTGTGAGCTACACATCATTTGACGCAGCGGTGCGGCTAGTGCGGCGGTATGGTCCGGGAGCAGAGCTGGCGAAGTGCGATATCAAATCCGCCTTCAGGCTGCTCCCAGTACATCCGTCTGATTTTGAGCTGTTGGGATTCCAGTTCCAGGGCCTTTTTTATTGCGATCGAGCGTTGCCCATGGGATGTTCAGTCTCTTGTGCCGCTTTCGAGACGTTTAGTACGTTCCTTGAATGGGCTATAAAGGATAAGTCGGGCCTCGGAGGAGTCGCACATTATCTCGACGACTTTCTTTTCGTGGGAAAAGGCGGATCGGGGGACTGTGGTGCCCTGCTACGCGCCTTTCAGCAGCTAGCCGGGGACCTAGGGGTACCTTTAGCTGACGAAAAAACTGAGGGCCCCCTCTCTGTTTTGACATTCTTAGGGATAGAGCTTGACACAGTCAACGAATTCTCGAGGCTGCCGGAAGAAAAGGTCGCGGCCTTGATTGACAGGATAGGTCAATTTTCACAGCGGCGTAAGGCGACTTTAAGGGAGTTCCAGCAAATTATTGGTCACCTAAATTTCGCCTGTAAGGTCATAGCGCCCGGACGGGCTTTCCTGCGCAGGTTGTGTGAAGCTGTCACTGGAGTAGCCTTGCCCCACCATCACATCAGGCTAACAAGAGAAATTAGGGCTGATTTGTCCGTTTGGCTTCAATTCCTGCGCCAGTTTAACAGAATCTCGTTCTGGCGTCAGGAATTGATGATAAAAAACGCCCTTCAAGTGGCTTCGGACGCATCAGGGTCAATTGGATTTGGAGTATACTTCGAAGGACACTGGTGCGCAGAAAGGTGGCCAGACCACTGGCATGCGTTGGGAATGACAGTGGATTTAACCTTTTTGGAATTTTTTCCTATCTTAGTGGCAGTCAACCTTTGGGCTGACAGATTTGCCAACTCCACGGTTCATTTTTGGTGCGACAATATGGCCACAGTGCAGGTCATTAACGCTCTGACATCTAAATCACGTAGGGTCATGAGCGCCATCCGACAATTTGTCTTACACTGTTTAAAATTTAACATATTGTTTAGAGCATTCCATGTCGCGGGTCTCGATAACGGACTGGCTGACGCTTTGTCTCGTTTTCAGATGGAGCGATTCAGACAGCTGGCTCCCGACGCGGACGTAGTTCCAGAGCGCATGCCGGACCATCTCTGGAAGGTTGGAGTGACGAGACGGCCTTAGGTATGAGCCTAGCTCTAGCACCCAGCTCTAGGAAGTCATACACTAGGGCGGTCCAAGAATTTCTAGATTTTAGACATCATTATAACCTGCCCGGAACTATGCCGGTCCCCTATGAGCAACTCGCTCAGTTTTGCGTATACCACAGGCGGAGAGGCTTAGCACCACAGTCCATTCGGACCAAGTTGTCAGCGCTGGCATATTGGTTGAAGGCCCAAGGCCTTAGTGACCCCACTGATGACTTTAGGATACATAAATTCTTAACGGGATGGTCCAGGCAGCGCGGGCATCCCAGGGACGACCGGCAGCCAATGACACCCGCAATTTTGAAGGGTTTGAAACAATTGTGGCCCAGATTGTGTACTTCATATTACGAGCAGGTCCTATATCATGCTGCAGGTTTGACTGCATTTTTTGGAGCACTGCGGGTGAGTGAATTGGTGGCACTATCCAAGAGCGATACCTCACACCGTGCGCTGTTGATTTCCGACATTAAGGTTTTCCAGGATAGTATGGAAATCAGAGTTAGGACCTCCAAAACTGACCAGGAAGCTAAGGGTCAGGTGATCCGCCTGCTTAAGTGCGGCGAAGAGGACCTTTGCCCGGTAGCGGCCATGACTCAATTCGCGGCGCTCAGGGGCACTGAGAAAGGTTACCTCTTTTCCCATCAGGACGGAAAGCCGCTGACCAAGTACCAATTTTGGACCATCACAGCTAAGGCGCTGGACCTGTTGGGGTTGGGACACCTGAAATTTGGGACCCACTCCTTTAGGATTGGTGCTGCCACGGCAGCATCCGCATTGGGATACGACAAGGATGAGATAAAAGCCATAGGCAGATGGAGGTCCGGCGCCTTCAGAGGTTACGTACGGTCAGTTCCATCCTAGATGTTGTTATCGTTGCAGGTCTCTCCAGGCTGGCGCATAGAAGTCGGGTCCTGGTGTGCGGACACAGTTATGTCTTTTGGGCAGGGAGAGAGGCCCACAGGACTGCCTTTGGTCAGCATTTGGGTCTCGCTTCCACGGCAGCGGTGGAATGGAGAGGAAGGAGAGGCCTGCGTTGGGACGGTTTGTGCCCCTTGTTGTTTAATGCCGGGAGTGTTCTGCCTCCTGATGTGTTGGTTATCCACCTCGGTGGTAACGATTTAGGCCTGTTAACAGGCAAGGCCCTCTTTTTACAAGCACGGGCAGATATCCGAAAAATTTGGTGGACATGGCCCGGGGTGCACGTCGTGTGGTCCGCTATCATACCTCGTCGCAGGTGGCTCGGAGGAGGCGACGTGGGAAGGCTCGAAAAAGCCAGGAAGCGAGTGAACCGGGCCATGCGGGTCTTCATGATCCATCAGAGGGGTCATTACATTGCACATCCAGATATCACTCGAGATGACGGGAGGTTATATCGGGGGGATGGAGTGCACTTATCAGAATTGGGCAACCAAAGATTCTTGTTAAATTTGCAAGAAGGTGTTAGGAGGGTGTTAGAGGAATTGGTGGGGGATAGGGGCGAAATGGACATTTGCCCCTAATCCGTGGCATAAATAGATAGAAAATTCCTCTAGTCGGTGTGCACCTAGGGCACCCCCTTAAGGGGTGAAAGGCCGTTAAGTCAAACACTCACCCCCTGTTTAAAAGGTGAGGATAGTTAAATGGCCTTTAATTGGAAGGAGTCTCGATCAAGAGCTCGGAAAGAGACTCCTTATCCCTTTCCCTTGGGGTGATACGGTTTGATTACCGAAACCCAGGTGCTTCGCCCGGAATATTGTGGTTATCGGGTAGGAATACTACCTGGGTTAGGTTGCACCAGTTCCTTGCACCCTTGAGTTAGGTTAGGAACTTAAATAGGTAACGTTAAATAAAAGTTGCCCAATTTGAATCCAAACATTGGTGTTATGTCTTTATTTCTTGTGTGTTACTTCGTGGGTTGGCAGACAAATGCCACTATAACTAGATCTGATTTCTTCAGGAAAAGTTACAACTGGCACATTAGTTTTAACTGTGCAAATAAAGTTCTCTCCAGTTCTGAAACCTTGACATTCAGGTTCAAAGCTGTGTCCAAGAAAATGCCCAAGCTGTGAGCCTGAAATTTCAGAGAAAATGTAATCATATCCAGCATGGGCAGATATCAGCATGGGCAGATATTGTTCTATCTGATTTTTACTGACAAGGAAGACCTCTGGATTAAGTTTCAATTGCTTTGCCCTCATCCAGTCCATTACTTACAACAGACATTAGTTCAGTACCAAGACAGCTTCCTTGGAAGCAAATACAGAAAGAGAAGAGTTGAGTGCCATCAGCATATTGGGGACACCGGCCCCAAAATGATGGATGGCCTGTTCTAGTGGTTTCATATAGATAATAAATAGCATAGCGGACAAAGGATAATCCAGGATCACCCCTCAGCCAATAGCCAGCGCAACGAAAGAGGATTACCCAGCACCATCTGTTGAGTTTGTCCCTCTGAGAAAGAATGGTGCCCCTGTATATCAGTATCTTCAGGTCCATCCCAGAGAGATAGCCTAGAAGAATACCATGATTGATTATATCATAAGCTGCTGAGAGGTCCATAACCAGACCTGAAGCCAGGCTGAAATATGTATAATTTATCTTAAAAGAGGTGGAAATTGCAAAGGAAAACCTATTTTGTTTTGGATGATCTCTAGCAGGACACTGTGAATGCTAATTCTCAAAATAGCTATATTGTCAGCCTACCTTGTCACGATGAGACAACCTCATCACAACTCTCTCTCAACCCAATTACATTTTAGACTCATACTTGCATTGAGGTTGTCTCATGATGGGGATGATTGTGATGATTAGTTTAGAAAACAATTTATATAGTTTCAATAGATTTTTTTTCTTGTTGCTCTCCCTCTTTTCCCCCCTTTCTTTTTTCCCCTTCCTTTCATCTTTTTTTTTAAATGAGGAGGAGTGAAAAGTCACTATTATAGGACTGATACACTATCAGCAGGTCAGCTTTAAGCTTCTTTCAGTGGAATGGAAGCTGAGAGTCTTTTCATTTCTTATATTGATCTGACAGCTCTAATGGGACATTGTCATTGCACTCTGCTGTTTCATGGATTTTGTTTTGATTTGTCTCCTATGATAACTTTAAGCTGGTTGGTAAATGATAATATTTTGTATCCAATATTGCTGTCTAGTTTGTTGTTGCAAAGGTCAAGAAGTTAATAGCTTTACTGTGCATTTGGAGTGGGCAGTTACCTTTAATTTCTGTTAATAATGCAACAAACAGAAAACATCACTGTATCAATGTGAGTAGTAACATAGGACTGCTAGTTCTCATTTCTCTGCCTCTTGTAGTCAGTGCCAAATGCTCTCAAGTTCTGGATGAATGCCATATATTGAAATGATGAAGTGAAGACAAAATATATTTAATTTCTCTTGTTGGAAATGACAAAAGGACTTTAAAAAAAGAGGGGATAAAATTTTCAGTAACATGTCAGCAAAATATCATCCCTGTATTATTTGATAAGCACTGCATGTAATCCACATAAATATTTAGCTGTCCTGAGATAAGCCCCTTTTGTTTCTGCCAGAATAACTTGAATCTAATATGTAGTGAGAAAAAAAATAGAATTTGCTTCCCATGTTTCTGTAGGCAACCATATGGTGAGAAACATGGCTTTCTTACAGACTTGTCTCAAAATGGTTTGCCTGCATAGGTGTTTCCAAATTAAATTTAAAATACTACTTTGGACAAAGTGTCAATGTGATGATCTGTTTACATCGGTTTTGAACAAAAATTACTGGAGGGGTGGAAAACTGTTGAGAAAGTCATGGCTCAAAGGGAAGACGCGTGCTTTGCTCTGCTGAATGTCTCAGATTTGATTTCTAGCATTTTCAGATAAGACTGGGAAAAACTACCCATGTCCAAAACCCCATTGAATCAATATTAGAAACATTCAGGAAATTTGTATGTGTGTGTGTGTGGGGGGGGGGGGAGGGTTAAGAATTGAAACACACACCAACAATTTCTGTTAAAATTCTGTAATATTTGGATGCCTCCCAAGATCAATTTAATTTTTCATATAAGAATTAAAAAAACTTTGGTAAAGAAAAGAGAATACAAAAAGTTTTAAAAACCAATGCTTTCCAGAATTTCTTTGGCTTGACCACCATCATCAAAGGCACTGGGGTGGGACTAGTAAACTTGGGTGGGAGACTGAGAACACAGCATTTTTAGAAATCTAGTTTGGTAGGTGAGGCCCCCTGTAGCAGAGAATTCTAAAGGCCTTGCCTAAACTACATTTCCCAGAATGCAGTGCTCAACATCAGAAAGCAGCCAGCTGTGTAGAGTCAGTCCAATAACAAATACAATTATTGTATCTGCAAAGAGGACTAAAGTAAGTAATATCTGTGTTAAGTTGAAGTTATGTGGTTGTGTGTCATAAAGACATTCAAGGGGATTGTTGTCACTTTTGGGGGGGAATAAATTATTTTTGTCTAAACTTTTAAAAATCTTCAAAAATCTTTAGATGTGTGAACCTTTTATAACTTCTGGGAATTGATGCTCTGGTTATCTTATGCATTGTATATAAAATTTAAGGAGATAGCTCTTGTAGTTTCTTCTGAAAAATGTTGGTTTTTTAAAAAAAAATTACATTCCTCAAAAATGTATATAAGTGAAACAGTCTGAAATTTGGTAGGCTAACAGGGATAAATGTGTTCTACCACCATATCAAGTTTCACTGCAATCACTTTAAAAATGAGGGAGAAATGAGCCCTGAAATTTCCCCAACTATTACAATTATGTGCAGTTACTATAATGAAATAGTAACAAAAATTCATTACTCTTATCGTAATGATTTTTTTACTCATCATACTTTAGAAACTCTTCAGGAATGAAATACCAGTGCCCCCCAGTTTTGTGCACCTATTTTTGGCTAAATGACCTCCCTTCCCAACTGACCTCTCTTGTCTCTCATCAGCTGAGAGGCAAAGGATTACCCCCCCCCCCCTTCTGCAAGTGGAATAACTTCTGCTTGCACTCTGATGGGAATGGGCACAAAATCGATAGAAAATCAATTTTTTCATCATGTGCACCTCAAAACTGAGGTGCACATTACAGTCGATGGCACACTATATTCAAGGAAATATGAAGCTGAACTTAGGTTGATGGGTCACAGCATTTCCAGTCTGGTCTAAGGTGGTATGTCTTCTTCACTGAACCAAACTTGTCTTAGCTTTGTAATGTATCCTGCCAATAATGTCAAGGCACAGATGGCAGATTTTTTCCCCTCCAATGCCTATTTTATTTTTGCATCTGGGATTCAGGCTAATTAGAAAATAATTTCTGTAACTAATATATGAAAATTCATTTTAATCCAGTGTTTATTCACATTTTTGTGTTCTGAATAATAAAATAATCTCAAAAATGTAGAAAAGACAATTACATGAGTTGATATGTGTTATTTGCCTTTATGCCTCAAATGTCTTTGTAGCCACCTGCTAGACCCCTCTTCTACAAAAATACTACAGATGAATATATTATATCCAACAGCTGTGTTGCGGGTGTTGCTCTGCAAATTATTTTCCCCATAGTTATAATCTGCGAATAAGGCAGTCACACAAAATAGAATGTCTTTTTTCCTGATTAAAATGTGCTGTTTCGGTTTCATTTTGAATTGTGAAACAACTTTAAGTATTTCTGCTTATAACAGGAACAGCCTTTTATGCAGTATGAGGATACTGTACCTTTTACATATGAGCATTTTATAGAATGCCAGAATACTAGTCCTGTTTGATATTGTAGCATCCTATATTGTACATTTATTTTGAGCATTTCTACCCCGCCTTTGTCAACCCCCTAGGGGGGGACTCAGGGCGGCTTCCAGCCGGCACATATTCGATGCCTACATTTAAACACAATAAAATACATATCACAGTAATTATAAGTAGTTAAAACATTAAATTAAAACATTAAATTATTACAGTAAAATCTCATAGAAAAAGCCAGCTTAGTGGCCATTGTTTCACCGAGTTCCGTAATTAGTGAGCCATTCAGCTAATCATGGAGATGAATCACGTACTTATGGGGTCAAGCTAGATGTGATATTGTTCATGCAGTTAACAATTAGCAATGTTATTGCTGAGTTGTGAGCCAATGAGAAAGTGAGATACCAATAATAATAATAATAATAATAATAATAATAATAATAATAATAATAATAATGCAGTTTTCTGGCATTGTATATTTCTTCCACTTCTGTGACTGTTCATTTGTATTTTGATTATGTAGCCCACTTGTCAATGGATGTCCAGAATCAGCAGCATCCACCATGGTCCTTTTTATCCTGGGCGATGACCAAGCCAGTATAGATTTCATTTAGGATTGTT